TCTCTCTTAGTTTCAGTCAGGACTCTCTTTTAGTTTCAGTCAGGACTCTCTTTTAGTTTCATCAGGACTCTCTTTTAGTTTCAGTCAGGACTCTCTTTTAGTTTCAGTCAGGACTCTCTTTTAGTTTCAGTCAGGACTCTCTTTTAGTTTCATCAGGATCTCTTTTAGTTTCAGTCAGGACTCTCTTTTAGTTTCAGTCAGGACTCTCTTTTAGTTTCAGTCAGGACTCTCTTAGTTTCAGTCAGGACTCTCTTTAGTTTCAGTCAGGACTCTCTTTTAGTTTCAGTCAGGACTCTCTTTTAGTTTCAGTCAGGACTCTTTTTAGTTTCAGTCAGGACTCCTCTTTTAGTTTCAGTCAGGACTCTCTTTTAGTTTCAGTCAGGACTCTCTTTTAGTTTCATCAGGACTCTCTCGTCTCTCTAGTTTCAGTCAGACTCTCTTTTAGTTTCATCAGGACTCTCTTTTAGTTTTCAGTCAGGACTCTCTCTTAGTTTCAGGTCAGGACTCTCTTTAGTTTCAGTCAGGACTCTCTTTTAGTTTCAGTCAGGACTCTCTTTTAGTTTTCAGTCAGGACTCTCTCTTAGTTTCAGTCAGGACTCTCTTTTAGTTTCAGTCAGGACTCTCTTTTAGTTTCAGTCAGGACTCTCTTCTTAGTTTCCGTCAGGACTCTCTCTTAGTTTCAGTCAGGACTCTCTTTAGTTTCAGTCAGGACTCTCTTTAGTTTCAGTCAGGACTCTCTCTTAGTTCAGTCAGGACTCTCTTTTAGTTTCAGTCAGGACCTCTCTCTTTAGTTTCAGTCAGGACTCTCTTTTAGTTTCAGTCAGGACTCTCTTTTAGTTTCAGTCAGGACTCTCTTTTAGTTTCAGTCAGGACTCTCTCTTAGTTTCAGTCAGGACTCTCTTTTAGTTTCAGTCAGGACTCTCTCTTAGTTTCAGTCAGGACTCTCTTTAGTTTCATCAGGACTCTTTTAGTTTCAGTCAACATCTCTTTTAGTTTCAGTCAGGACTCTCTCTTAGTTTCAGTCAGGACTCTCTTTAGTTTCAGTCAGGACTCTCTTTAGTTTCAGTCAGGACTCTCTTTTAGTTTCAGTCAGGACTCTCTTTAGTTTCAGTCAGGACTCTCTTAGTTTCAGTCAGGACTCTCTTTTAGTTTCAGTCAGGACTCTCTTTTAGTTTCATCAGGACTCTCTCTTAGTTTCTGTCAGGACTCTCTTTTAGTTTCAGTCAGGACTCTCTTTTAGTTTCAGTCAGGACTCTCTTTTAGTTTCAGTCAGGACTCTCTTTTAGTTTCAGTCAGGACTCTCTTTTAGTTTCAGTCAGGACTCTCTCTTAGTTTCAGTCAGGACTCTCTCTTAGTTTCAGTCAGGACTCTCTCTTTTTCGTCAGGACTCTCTTTTAGTTTCATCAGGACTCTCTTTTAGTTTCAGTCAGGACTCTCTCTTAGTTTCAGTCAGGACTCTCTTTTAGTTTCAGTCAGGACTCTCTTTTAGTTTCAGTCAGGACTCTCTCTTAGTTTCAGTCAGGACTCTCTTTTAGTTTCAGTCAGGACTCTCTTTTAGTTTCAGTCAGGACTCTCTCTTAGTTTCAGTCAGGACTCTCTTTTAGTTTCAGTCAGGACTCTCTTTTAGTTTCAGTCAGGACTCTCTTTTAGTTTCATCAGGACTCTCTTTTAGTTTCAGTCAGGACTCTCTTTTAGTTTCAGTCAGGACTCTCTTTTAGTTTCAGTCAGGACTCTCTTTTAGTTTCATCAGGACTCTCTTAGTTTCAGTCAGGACTCTCTTTTAGTTTCAGTCAGGACTCTCTTTTAGTTTCAGTCAGGACTCTCTTTAGTTTCAGTCAGGACTCTCTTTTAGTTTCAGTCAGGACTCTCTTTAGTTTCAGTCAGGACTCTCTTTTAGTTTCAGTCAGGACTCTCTTTTAGTTTCAGTCAGGACTCTCTTTTAGTTTCAGTCAGGACTCTCTTTAGTTTCAGTCAGGACTCTCTTTTAGTTTCAGTCAGGACTCTCTTTAGTTTCAGTCAGGACTCTCTTTTAGTTTCATCAGGACTCTCTTTTAGTTTCATCAGGACTCTCTTTAGTTTCAGTCAGGACTCTCTTTTAGTTTCAGTCAGGACTCTCTTTTAGTTTCAGTCAGGACTCTCTTTTAGTTTCAGTCAGGACTCTCTTTTAGTTTCATCAGGACTCTCTTTTAGTTTCATCAGGACTCTCTTAGTTTCAGTCAGGACTCTCTTTTAGTTTCAGTCAGGACTCTCTTAGTTTCAGTCAGGACTCTCTTTAGTTTCAGTCAGGACTCTCTTTTAGTTTCATCAGGACTCTCTTTTAGTTTCAGTCAGGACTCTCTTTTAGTTTCATCAGGACTCTCTTTTAGTTTCAGTCAGGACTCTCTTTTAGTTTCAGTCAGGACTCTCTTTTAGTTTCAGTCATCAGGACTCTCTTTAGTTTCAGTCAGGACTCTCTTTTAGTTTCATCAGGACTCTCTTTTAGTTTCAGTCAGGACTCTCTTTTAGTTTCAGTCAGGACTCTCTTTTAGTTTCAGTCAGGACTCTCTTTTAGTTTCATCAGGACTCTCTTTAGTTTCAGTCAGGACTCTCTTTTAGTTTCATCAGGACTCTCTTTTAGTTTCAGTCAGGACTCTCTTTTAGTTTCATCAGGACTCTCTTTTAGTTTCATCAGGACTCTCTTTTAGTTTCAGTCAGGACTCTCTTTTAGTTTCATCAGGACTCTCTTTTAGTTTCAGTCAGGACTCTCTTTTAGTTCATCAGGACTCTTTTAGTTTCAGTCAGGACTCTCTTTAGTTTCAGTCAGGACTCTCTTTTAGTTTCAGTCAGGACTCTCTTTTAGTTTCATCAGGACTCTCTTTTAGTTTCAGTCAGGACTCTCTTTTAGTTTCAGTCAGGACTCTCTTTAGTTTCAGTCAGGACTCTCTTTTAGTTTCAGTCAGGACTCTCTTTTAGTTTCAGTCAGGACTCTCTTTAGTTTCAGTCAGGACTCTCTTTTAGTTTCAGTCAGGACTCTCTTTAGTTTCAGTCAGGACCTCTCTTAGTTTCAGTCAGGACTCTCTTTTAGTTTCAGTCAGGACTCTCTTTTAGTTTCATCAGGACTCTCTTTTAGTTTCATCAGGACTCTCTTTTAGTTTCAGTCAGGACTCTCTTTTAGTTTCATCAGGACTCTCTTTTAGTTTCATCAGGACTCTCTTTTAGTTTCATCAGGACTCTCTCTTAGTTTCAGTCAGGACTCTCTTTTAGTTTCAGTCAGGACTCTCTCTTAGTTTCAGTCAGGACTCTCTTTTAGTTTCAGTCAGGACTCTCTTTTAGTTTCAGTCAGGACTCTCTCTTAGTTTCAGTCAGGACTCTCTTTTAGTTTCATCAGGACTCTCTTTTAGTTTCAGTCAGGACTCTCTTTTAGTTTCATCAGGACTCTCTTTTAGTTTCATCAGGACTCTCTCTTAGTTTCAGTCAGGACTCTCTTTTAGTTTCAGTCAGGACTCTCTTTAGTTTCAGTCAGGACTCTCTTTTAGTTTCATCAGGACTCTCTTTTAGTTTCATCAGGACTCTTTTAGTTTCAGTCAGGACTCTCTCTTAGTTTCAGTCAGGACTCTCTTTTAGTTTCAGTCAGGACTCTCTTTTAGTTTCATCAGGACTCTTTTAGTTTCAGTCAGGACTCTCTCTTAGTTTCAGTCAGGACTCTCTTTTAGTTTCAGTCAGGACTCTCTCTTAGTTTCAGTCAGGACTCTCTTTTAGTTTCATCAGGACTCTCTTTAGTTTCAGTCAGGACTCTCTTTAGTTTCAGTCAGGACTCTCTTTTAGTTTCAGTCAGGACTCTCTTTTAGTTTCAGTCAGGACTCTCTCTTTAGTTTCAGTCAGGACCTCTCTTTAGTTTCAGTCAGGACTCTCTTTAGTTTCAGTCAGGACTCTCTTTTAGTTTCATCAGGACTCTCTTTAGTTTCAGTCAGGACTCTCTTTAGTTTCAGTCAGGACTCTCTTAGTTTCAGTCAGGACTCTCTTTAGTTTCAGTCAGGACTCTCTCTTAGTTTCAGTCAGGACTCTCTTTTAGTTTCAGTCAGACTCTCTTTAGTTTCAGTCAGGACTCTCTTAGTTTCAGTCAGGACTCTCTCTTAGTTTCAGTCAGGACTCTCTTTTAGTTTCAGTCAGGACTCTCTTTTAGTTTCAGTCAGGACTCTCTTTTAGTTTCAGTCAGGACTCTCTTTTAGTTTCAGTCAGGACTCTCTTTAGTTTCAGTCAGGACTCTCTTTTAGTTTCATCAGGACTCTCTTTTAGTTTCATCAGGACTCTCTCTTAGTTTTCAGTCAGGACTCTTTTAGTTTCAGTCAGGACTCTCTTTAGTTTCAGTCAGGACTCTCTTTTAGTTTCAGTCAGGACTCTCTTTTAGTTTCAGTCAGGACTCTCTTTTAGTTTCAGTCAGGACTCTCTTTTAGTTTCATCATTCAGGACTCTCTTTTAGTTTCAGTCAGGACTCTTTTAGTTTCAGTCAGGACTCTCTTTTAGTTTCAGTCAGGACTCTCTTTAGTTTCATCAGTCAGGACTCTCTTTTAGTTTCAGTCAGGACTCTCTTTTAGTTTCATCAGGACTCTCTTTTAGTTTCATCAGGACTCTCTTTTAGTTTCAGTCAGGACTCTCTTTTAGTTTCAGTCAGGACTCTCTTTTAGTTTCAGTCAGGACTCTCTTTAGTTTCAGTCAGGACTCTCTTTTAGTTTCAGTCAGGACTCTCTTTTAGTTTCATCAGGACTCTCTTTTAGTTTCATCAGGACTCTCTTTTAGTTTCAGTCAGGACTCTCTTTTAGTTTCAGTCAGGACTCTCTTTTAGTTTTATCAGGACTCTGTCAGCAGCGTTCTGGATTAGTTTTAAGGGATTTTCTACAGAGACCAGCAAATACACTGTTACAGTAATCAAGCCTGCTAAAAACCAATGTGTGAGTTCGTTTTTCACGGGCTTGTTGAGACATGAATGATATGAAACATGGTGCAGTTTGAGGGTTGTTTACTCTGCTTGTTGGACTTCAGGGTGAGTTCCTTCGTTTCCTTCATGGCGATCTTCTTCCCGGCGATCTCGTCGTAAATGGCCGAAAGATATTCTTCCGGCAGGTCTTTGCTGTCGTTGATGCCGCGGTTCATCTTGATGTACTGCTCCTTCGTCATCTTATTCTTCACCTGTGCAGAGAACAACAAGTGTGCAGGGTTAAAGGATGCCAGGTTTATTCATTACTGTTGGAAAAACACTGAATGTCCTCTTCCAACATGAGAGTAACATGCTAACAAAGGTATCCCAACTGTAGCTGTGAACATGACAGGATGTATGATTACATAGAAGAGCATCAGGACTGTTTGAGGCATATGATAGCTATGTGATTAACATGATGGTTCAGCCTCTATGGAGATAGACATATGACAAGCATGCTCATTTCTGACGTGGAGCTAATCTGAAGTAAACATTGAATACTGCTTTCTATTCCTCCATCTTGTGACTGTGTAACTCCCTCTCTTGGATATCAGCATGTGAAGGACACTGTTCAGGAACTAGTTGATGCTCTGTATGTGATGACCAGTTTTTATTAACATTTTTAAGTATTCAGAAAAAGTCAGAATTTTAAGAAAAAGTCAGATTTTTGAGAAAAAAAGTCAGATTTTTTAGAAAAAGTCAATTTTTTTAGAAACAGTCAGTTTTTTTTTGAAAAAGTCAGATTTTTGGGGATTTTGAGAAAAAGTCAGGATTTTGAGAAAAAGTCAGAATGTTGAGAATTTTGTACGTGACAGGATGTACTGCTTTCTATTCCTCCATCTTGTGACTGTGTAACTCCCTCTCTTGGATATCAGCATGTGAAGGACACTGTTCAGGAACTAGTTGATGCTCTGTATGTGATGACTACTTCCATTCTAGAGAGGATCACAAATACATGGATCCTGAGATTGAAGATCAAGCCGGGGACCAGGGAGATGTTTCTAACAGTTACACTGATTCATGAGCTAACGTGTTAACGTGCTAACCTGAGGGCTGTGCAGGTCTGTGGTCAGCATGATGATGGAGTAGGCGAGAACGTACGCCGTGTCCGCGCTGGCAAAGAGGGTTTGTCTGGAAAACACAATAAGTATTAATATGAGGATAGCTCAGGGTATAATAATATATATAATAATGAATATTCACCCCTGGTTGCACTCCAGATATCGAGCAGCGAACTTCTCCATGAGCCGGTCGATTTTCTGAGCTTCTCCTGGCAGACGGAAACCCTCGAGGAACGTCCGGAGCGCCGAGACAAAGTCTTTCCCTTGGAAGTCCATCTGATCCACGTAGGCGTACATCACCTCCTTGTTGAAGCGCTCGTTGTCTCCCAGAAACTCCCCCACCTGGGTCTGAAGAGGGGAGAAACGGGGGAGATTTCATATTTAATACCTTTAAATTATAACAAGAAGGAGAATCTGGGAAGTCTTAGTTTCAAAGGTTTTAAAGAGAGGGTTTTTGTGTCACTGTGTCATTGTCAACAAAAACACCTTTAACTCTTTTCTATTACGACCTTGTTCTGACAAACTAAATAATGAATAATAATATAAAGTCCTGACCGAGTCCAGCCTCTCCTCCTGGTGCAGGAACTGAGCCAGGTCTTCAGGTGTAGTTCCCAGCATGCCTTGCTCCTGCAGGTACTGGATGCCTCTCTTTGGTTTCTTGTTGAACCTGCAGCAGAATAAAGAGAGACGTTAAAGGTCTCCTATCAAAGGCTCTTTGTGATGTCTTTTCTACATAAAGGTGTGTCCCCCATGTGTCCCCGGCGTGTCCCCATGTGTCCCCGGCCCCGGTGTGTCCCCATGTGTCCCCGGCCCCGGTGTGTCCCCGGTGTGTCCCCATGTGTCCCCGGTGTGTCCCCCGTGTGTCCCCGGTGTGTCCCCCATGTGTCCCCGGTGTGTCCCCAGTGTGTCCCCGGTGTGTCCCCATGTGTCCCCGGTGTGTCCCATGTGTCCCCGGTGTGTCCCCGGTGTGTCCCCGGTGTGTCCCATGTGTCCCCCCGGTGTCCCCCCGGTGTCCCCCCGGTGTCCCCCCGGTGTGTCAGGAAATAAAACCCTCTCTCTTTTACCCACATCTCTAAAAACGGGGGAACGACGGAGAAATGTCGCTATCAGAAACCAGAAACCATTTTTATATATTTGCATATATCTGAGACCTATAATATATGCCAAAAAATAGTATAATAGGAGCCCTTTAAGACTCGAGGACAGAGGAATCCTCAGGAAGGAAAGGGGATATCATCGTTGTATTTGAAGACTCGTTTTTACCCATGTATGTGTCTTTTAAAATAATAATAGCACTTTTCATACATCACGTGCATGGCGACACATCACAAGTTGAAGTATATTAACTCTTACAGGTCGATGATGTCTTTCTGCTGCTTCAGGACCTCGAAATGCACAGGGCTTTTATATATTTTCATATATCTGGGACCTATATAATGCCTAGAAATATATGATAGGAGACTTTTAAAGTAGTACTCTTACAGGTCGATGCCTTGCTCGATGATCTCCTTCTGCTGCTTCAGGACCGAACTGTTCGGGGTTGTCGTGCCGGACATCTGCGTGCTGTAGCTGCCGATCCCCGAGGAGGCCGTGGAGTCCAGAGAGTTGATGCTGCCGTACCTATTGATCGTCTCCGGGGCTTTAGGCTCCGATTGATCCTGCTCCACCGGCTTCTCCTGGCCTGAGGACGCAAAAAACACAGATCCTTAGAGTTAGTTTACTGACAGGAGGGGAGGGTTTATAATGCAAACTTGTAAAACTAGGGGAGAGACTTTTTAAAAGGGAAACTGCAACACAAAGTGACCCTGAGGCGTAATGGAAGCATTTAGCAGGGAGAGGCGTGCACATCATTGTTTCTCACATGCAAACAGCCTCAAAACCTGCAGAAAACTAGCAGGGTGGGTTTTATGAGAGGAGGGTATCTAAGAAACTTGCACGGTAGCTCAGCCTGGGTCTTGTTGCACGTTGGAAACTCTTAAACATTCATCACAGGAACCTGAGCTAACTCTGTTCTACTAAAATCCACTGATATTTATGACATGAAGCTTTTCTACCCATCAGATTCAGAAAAAGGTGTTTTAATCATACAGGGTGGTGTTTCTAACTTCAGAAAAAGTATAATCATTCAAATGTAATCAAATATTAAAAGTGCAAAAATGTACCGTAGTTATATTATTGCATAACTTATTTTGAACTTTTAACATGTAATTATGTTTATTTTCAATGAATCTGCTGATTATTATCTCAATTAAACCATTATTTATTTAAAAACAATAGTGAAAATAGTGTTAAATTCTATTAAGTTAATTCTTCAGTGTTTGTTTAACCTTTAACATAATTTAAAATAAATGGCACAAGCTATTAGTAAAGCTGCTCATATAGTGAATCTCCCTCTGGGATGTAGTGAAGGGACATATTGTGCTTTAGTGCAACACCTTCATAAATGTAGTTCCTTTACACTAATGGACACATCTGAGGGGTTCCTCTACACTAATGGACACATCTGAGGGGTTCCTCTACACTAATGGACACATCTGAGGGGTTCCTCTACACTAATGGACACATCTGAGGGGTTCCTCTACACTAATGGACACATCTGAGGGGTTCCTCTACACTAATGGACACATCTGAGGGTTCCTTTACACTAATGGACACATCTGAGGGGTTCCTTTACACTAATGGACACATCTGAGGGGTTCCTTTACACTAATGGACACATCTGAGGGGTTCCTTTACACTAATGGACACATCTGAGGGGTTCCTTTACACTAATGGACACATCTGAGGGGTTCCTTTACACTAATGGACACATCTGAGGGGTTCCTCTACAAACAGCACAGGCTAAATAAGACTTTCTAAAGCTGAAACACAAACAACCGTTACCTGCTCTCACTTTGAAGAGAAGGAGGAAACAACAAGGACAGACAATATGAAATGATTACACACATATCATTGATACACAGAGAAGCAGGGAGAATGACACTTCAAATCCAGTTTGTTATTAACGAGCATCTCTAAACGAGGGGAACCTTAACGAGGAACGTCTGGCAGAATTAAACGTCTGAAAACCTCGTTAATGTGTGTTTTTAGAGCAACTCCAACATGAGCCATCTGTGTTTAAACAGTCTGGCACTAGGAGTCTCTGAATGACAACACTGCTGCATCATGGGAGTTGTAGTTTTCCCCTAGTAAGGATTCCTTGAGTGTTTATGATCCAGGAGGTCGTTAGCCTCTCAAACAGTGGAGAAAGCAGTATTTATCTCACATATTATTTTAATAACATATCATTTTTTTCTTGTGAATATACCACTTTTATTTCATCAAAACAACAACAACATATTTTAATATTGTAAATTCTGAATTGTTGTGGGATTATTACACCTGTCCTGTAACTCTATTTATTATTGCAACGGCCCTAATAAGCCGTCAAAGGAAACGCACTGTTATCCTGATTAAAATTACACATTTTTCATAAACATCTGGCATAACGTAAGTACACAAATCAACTGAAAATATAAGATAGGTCTAGTTGTTTTAAGTTAATGTTTAATACATTAAATCCCTGTTCTTACCGAGGCTGGTCTCTCAAACAGACAGGTTTTTAAATAACTCTTGTGATGTTTATTCTTGTATAGACACGACTTTTAATCTTTAAAAAAGTATTTTCGTACAAATGTTGTGATTTTTGGACTAAATATGTGATTTTTTTGTGAATATACAACGTAAGGATTCCTTCAATATTTATGAGCCAAGAGGTCTTTCGCCTCTCAAACAGTGGATAAAGCAGTTTTTATTTTACATTTCTTTTAGATATTGCTTCTTGTATAGACACTAATTTTAATCTTAGAAAACATCAAAGTATTTTTTGTGTGAATTCTGTGATGTTTTTCTTGTGAATATACCACTTTTAATATCCGAATATCCTGTTACCTTGATTAAAAATCATACATTTTTCTTAAACATTGGACACAATGCAAGTACACAGATCAACGTAATATATACAATATATATATACAAATCAACTGAAAATATAAGATAGGTCTAGTTATTTTAAGTTAATGTTTAATACATTAAATCCCTGTTCTCTGAAACTGAATAAAGCAGTATTTATCTTACATTTTTGGAGGTTTTTAAATAACTTTTGTGATGTTTGTTCTTGTATAGACACGACTTTTAACCTTTGAAAATATCAAAGTATTTTTCGCGTGAAATCTGTGATTTTTCGCCTAAATATTCAACGTAATATATAAGATAGGTCTAGTTATTTTTAAGTTAATGTTTAATACATTAAATCCCTGTCCTTACCAAGGCTGGTCTGAGAGTTGGGGTTGACGTATTGATCCTTGCTCCACTCCACCATGCACTTCAGGATGGAGACCAGACACTCCAGACCTTTCTTCCTCAGAGTCAGCTCCTGGGAGAAGGGGTGTGACATTAAAAAAGCATTAGAAATAGTTAAAATAAAGCTAAATATCTAAATAAAAATAGAGAAATGCTCTCACTTGAATGGGAGTTGTTCCGAGTTCATGTCCTCCGCGACCCTGAGCGATTTTGGACAAATCGTTCACTAAACGCTCGAAGATATTTGCAGCGTTCAGATCGCAGTCGTAGTTCACGTAGATGTCCACCACACTCTGAGCATCTGAGAGAACCACAGGAGAACAGAAACATACTGAAGAAAGCAGACAAAATGCATAATGTTTCATTCCACAGGCCATCAGACTGTTCAAAACAACATCCATAACATTCATCTGTTTGCATCGTGCTAATTATTTATCTAATATATAATTCCATGTAGTTGTATATAGACACTTCTTGCACTATTTCTATTTTATTTGTATTTACTTGCACATCTCAAAACATTCTCTTGCACTATTTGATCTGTTTTATTTGTTCTATGTCCTATAAATATTCATGTTGCTCTGTTGGAGGAGCCTTCAGTTTTTCATTGACATATCTCCACTGGAGCTGCTGAGCACATGGTGATGGAGACTTGAATTGAATTGAATTAATAACGTGCAAATCACACGTTTGTATTGCATCGTGTTCATTGCAGGGGTTTGTGTTCTCTTTTTCTGAAAGTGTGCTACTTCAAACTCTCCTTGCACTGATTCAATCTATAAAATAATCTTTAGTTCAAGCCCTAATTCAATAGAGTGATCATATGTCAACAGAATTAAATTAAAAAGCACATATTTACTATGAAACAAGGTAAACACACAGGAATATTTAACACTTTTTTGGCAGAAATCAATAAAAACATTGGATAAATCCATGAAACAGTTTGTGTTGCAATATCCATATGTAAAGTTTATAAGAACAGTATTTTTAAAGGGAAAGTTTTTATATATAAGAGGAATTTATGGTTTTAAATAAACCCACAAAATGATCCTCCTTATATATTAAGGTTCCTGGAGGAGCCTGTGACCTCACTTTCATTGCCATATCTACACCGCAGCTATGATAATAAACATGTATTACATGAGAGGAGACACACACCTGCACATATTCTGGTGAGGGTCTGGATCACCATCCACTTGTGGTCGTAGGAGCTGGTCGACGTCTCCAGGATGTAGAGGAAGATCTCTTTGAAGAACACCTGCAGAAAAACACACACCTTTACCTTCCTGCAGAAGTATTGGAGTACAAATACTTTGTTACTGTACTTAAGTACATGTTTCTGGTACCAGTACTTTACTCCACTACTTATTTTTCTGACGACTTTTTACTTTTACATTTTGAACACAGATACCGGTACTTTTTACTGAAGTACATTTCAAAGCCCTCTTTACTTTTACTCGAGTAAAGAAGTTAAGTCAGTACTTCTACTTTCACCAGAGTATTTTTAAAAACGAGTATCTGTACTTCTACTTGAGGAAAGGATGTGTGTACGTTTGCCATCTCTGATCAGCACAAAGCGGTATCTTTACCTCAATCTGCATCTTCAGGTGTGTCTTGAAGTGAGACAGCAGGGTGAGGAAGATGGACAGCGACAGCTCGAAGACTTCGGGTACGGAGGACACGCCGTTCTTGGACAGTGCCACGCACAGGTACTGCTTGATGGCGTTGATGAACATCTCGTTGGTCTTGAAGATCGGCCCGGCGTTCTGCAGGATGGAGAGCAGCAGCTGCAGGGAGAGCACCTTCGAACGCAGCTCATGGGACCTGAAGAGGGGGGAAATAGTTAGTAAATACCCCAAATGGTGAGTTTAACAAGTGTCTAAATGAGACTAAACGTCATCAAACCCAACATTAGCCTCCTTTAGCTTAGCGGTGGTGACGTGAAGTCATGTGACCGTGCTGTAGTTCCTTTATAGCCCAACATTAGCCACCTTTAGCTTAGCGGTGGTGACGTGAAGTCATGTGACCGTACTGCAGTTCCTTTATAACCAAACATTAGCCACCTTTAGCTTAGCGGTGGTGACGTGAAGTCATGTGACCGTGCTGTAGTTCCTTTATAGCCCAACATTAGCCACCTTTAGCTTAGCGGTGGTGACGTGAAGTCATGTGACCGTGCTGTAGTTCCTTTATAGCCCAACATTAGCTACCTTTAGCTTAGCGGTGGTGACGTGAAGTCATGTGACCGTGCTGCAGTTCCTTTATAGCCCAACATTAGCCTCCTTTAGCTTAGCGGTGGTGACGTGAAGTCATGTGACCGTGCTGTAGTTCCTTTATAGCCAAACATTAGCCACCTTTAGCTTAGCGGTGGTGACGTGAAGTCATGTGACCGTGCTGTAGTTCCTTTATAGCCCAACATTAGCCTCCTTTAGCTTAGCGGTGGTGACGTGAAGTCATGTGACCGTGCTGTAGTTCCTTTATAGCCCAACATTAGCCTCCTTTAGCTTAGCGGTGGTGACGTGAAGTCATGTGACCGCGCTGTAGTTGCGTTATAATAATAAATAATAATAATGCATTACATTTTTTATTAAAGCGCTTTTACAGGTGCTCAAAGCGCTTTACAATTACACATTACACATATTAGACATGTAAGAGTCATTACTGTGGACTTTACCCACAGGAGCAAATGTGGGTAAAGTGTCTTGGCCAAGGACACAACGGCCTAACGCAGTGGCGGCCGAGGCGGGTTTCGAACCGGAGTTCACCAACGCCCCTTGATTTGATGATCAACGCTCTAACCACTGCGCCAAAACCACGTTGGAAATACATTATACTGTTTTGTGTCCCACTTTGTGAATATCTCCTGCATAAAACAACTTTCTTCCAGCCTTCTGCTGCAGACATCATCATTTCAGAGGTGCAAGAAGAACAACAACATCTCGCCAAACCCGAGTACTTCCAGGAGAATGATTTCAGTTTCCCCTCAAAGCATCAGACTGCATTTCTAAATCTGAGAGTTCCTCTCTCCAGCAGCAGCAGGAGAGAGGAACTCATGAAACACTTCGGCGAGCCCAGAAATATGGACTCCTTCTGTCAGATCTGCAATATGGTGCTAAACCCTCTACAGTGGAAATTAGAAACTTGTGAAAACTGCTTCGAGAAAAATACCATATATTATTGTAAACAGGATGCACGAATAAATCTAAATCTTTAGGGTTGTATAAAAGACTACATTACCCGTTTAGTGAGTTATTATGCTGCTAACATATGCCAGAAAAATGAGTGCCAAACTGGGAAAATCAATGAAAACGGCACCTTAGATCGGAACTAGAAAATGCATTTCCTGCAGAAAATGCGTGCGAATGCTGTAAACTGTGAACATTTGTGGCTGAATTTAGCTGAAAATGCAGAAAAAGCTGAATATGTTATTAGCTGAATGGTAGCTGCTTTTAGCTACAAAAATGCAGAAAAAGCTTAATATTTAAAAGAAAAGGTTTAAAAAAAGGTATAAACAACAACATGTATAGCCTTGATGTCCTGAAATAGCTGAATAATGTTATAGTTGAATGGTTTCTGCAGCTGAAAATAGG